TCATCTATGTATTGGCTAAGCCGTTGGCATGTATAAATAAATATTTTAAATTCGATAGTTTCAATCGATATTAGCATATAGGTAGGCTAGTCCAGTTAAGAAACTGTACCCAATTAACTTACTGAGGCACTACTAACTTAAATAACTTAACTGGCTACCAAATATAGCCTACTGTAGGCCTAGACACATGACATAGGCTAGTTGTTCTTTTAACCCATTCGAGTGCTATGCGACGATATATATCGGCATTTACTGACATCTCTAAGGGATATAGAGAGAAAGGTCATTTTAACAAGCAGTAGCAATTAGCAAAACGGCCATTGGTGACCTGCATGTTCATAGGATACACTAACAACCACTTAGCTAAAAGATTCGCCCAATCCGATAATTCGAGGTTTATGTCTAAACCAAGGATTATGAACACCCCCACCTCACTATGCCCCAGTGGTGTATCGCTACAAACACACAGGTCACCAATCTCTGCTACATCTGGTGTCCTCCAGGGCTCACATCTCGGTCCTGTACTTTTCAATATCTTTATTAACAACATCTCCAGAGTCATTCACGTCAAGCACCTCTTGTTCTCTGACGACATCAAGCTGTATTCAGCCATCAAATCTATCGATAACTTCTATGGGCTCCAGGATAGTCTTCTGCTGTGAAGGGATGGTGTGTCAAGAACTTTATGTCTCTGAACACTTCAAAATGCCTCATCATGCCTTTTCACTTTTTAGCCCAAGTTAATACATAACTTAAATAAACAACAATAGTTAGTCACACAATCAATACTCAGGAGGGTATGAAGACATGGTGCATCCGCTCCAGCAGTGTATAGGCCTACTGTTTCTTAAATTGGTACTTGGCTAAATCCCCGAGGAAAAGCTCCTGAATCTTTCGAATACCGTAGCGAGGGATTTTTGCCCTCCCTCCAAATACGTTCTATAGTATTTCTATGAGCACCGGTCTCCTGAATTTAGAAATTACATTGGAAAAAAACTATTGTCAAACATATGTTAGCGAATTTCCCATATAGGGAATAAGCTATTACCGTAGTACTCATGGTAAGACCTGGACGCGGGACCGATTTTTTTTCGTTTTGAGGTCCCTAGAGGCCAAAAACACCATCCGTTCAAATTCATATATATATACAGTCCACTCTTGGTAATTCAAACACTTGATAATTCAAAACTTTCGATAATTCAAAATGAAGGCTCAGTCCCTAGAGAATCTCTCAATATTTCAAATTTTTACCATGCATTTTGATACACTCGGTATTTCAAAGTCCAAATAGAGGGCAGGTCAATTTGCAACACGCAGTAATTCGAAGTTTCGTCGGAAAAACACTCTATAATTCGAAGTAACTCAGTAATTCGAAGTTTCGTCGGTTAACACTCTACAATAATTCGAAGTCATGCTGTAATTCGAAGTTTCGTCGAAAAAACACTCTATAGTTAGAAGTGATCTCTTCCTGTTATAACAGGAAACTATACAGTACAGTACATCCTGTTCCCATGGTAGGCTAGTGTTGGACGTTTTGATGTTTGTTTAGTTAGAGCAGTAGTCTGAGTTAGTTCGCTGACTTGTTTTTCTAAGTTGGCAATCCAATCACTAGATTGCGCGACATCTCCTTGAGCACAAACGTAGTTGTCGACAGCTGATAGTTCAGCTATTTGGCGAAATATATAGCGCTAAATAACAGATTTCTTTGCAATTACAGTAACTGAAAAATAAGCCGGTGATTGTTTAAAAGTGTACTAAAATACTGTATGATGTTTTATTGTAACGTGCTGTACCTTTGTATGTATTAAACAAATGAACTCTCTGTAATTTGAATGGTTTATTTTTCTCCCGATAAATCGAACTCTTGATAATTCAAAACTCTTGATAGTTCAAATGTATATGCTTGGCCCACCAATTTCGAATTATCAAGAGTCTTCTGTATATATATATATATATATATATAAAATATATACAGGGTGTCCCGGAACTCTCTACCAATATTTTAGGGCATTGCTCCTGGGTAAGAAACATAACTAAATATCATATTTAAACTGTCCGGAAGTCCTTAGTTACTCACACAGCCGCCATTTTGTTTTTTTTTGTTATTAATTTTTTTCTAAAGAATGGTTAAACATACGAAATGGAAACTTTGCACAAACATTTATGACAACTAGACAAAGGTACCAAAAAATTATCACGATTTTTCAAATTCATAAAACAAAATGGCGGCCATTTAAAATTTTTGTAAAATCAACGGTTATTGAGGTATTTAAGAAAGAAAATTTTAAATGGCCGCCATTTTGTTTTATGAATTTGAAAAATCTTCATAATTTTTTTGTAGCTTTGTCTCGTTGTCATAAATGTTCGTGCAAAGTTTCCATTTCGTATGTTTAACCATTCTTTAGAAAAAAATTAATAACGGAAAAAAACAAAATGGCGGCTGTGTGAGTAACTAAGGACTTCCGGACAATTTAAATATGATATTTAGGTACGTTTCTTACCCAGGATCAATGCCCTAAAATATTGGTAGAGAGTTCCGGGACACCCTGTATATATATATATACGTGTCCGTCAGCACGATAACTCGAGCAAAAATGATCCGATTTTGATGAAATTTGGTACAAACGTGTAAACCTACGTTTATTTGAACGAGTTCGCGATCCAGCATGATCGGACCATGGGAACGGGTGTTTACGGGGGGTTTTATGGGGTAAAAATAGGGTTTTCCCATTTTTGACCCAAAAAACATAAAATTTAGCAATTTATTTCCAAACCATTTTGTAGAGCTTAAAAAACAAATAATTTTGTATATTGAAGCGTTATTATGCGCCTAATGGTTACGGAGAAAATTCCGAAAAATTTTAAATTTAAAATTCCCATGTTATTCTTATGGAGAATGAGTAAACTGTTGTAGTTTGCTTGTTTATGAACATATTTTGATCAAATTTGGAAAATGTTTTTATTTCTTACTAACTATTAACATTTTACAAAAAAAACAGTTTTACCCTCCCTGATGCAGCAAACCTAAGTACTTTTTAAACTAATTCTATTTAAATCGGGAATAAATGCTATATTTTTAAGTAGACATTTCAGTGTAAATCCAATCAGTCAAATGGAAATTCGCTTAGTCTGCAGGTTTGCTGTGGCGGGGGTATTTTTGATAATTGGGTGGAATATTTTATTTTGTTGTAGGCCTACAATAAATAATCATCCTTTTTGCCGATATGAGCCGTATTCACGTTTTTAATGATCTAATGGCAATTGGCTTGTTCTTTTTTGGAAGTTTTTCTTGGAGAACTTTCTACAATATTTGCAAGTTACTCATGTAGGCCTACCTAGCTGAATGATTGTATTTTACTGGAGATTTTCACTCGGGTTACTTGATGAATGTGACATTCAGTTTAATGTCATAAGTAGGCTTATAGATACTAATAAGAACTACACAACTCTTAAAGAGCCTTTGAAAATTATTTGACTAGCAAAAACGGTTTTGTTAGGATTATCAGGACTAACTAGACAAACATTAGCCTATTAAAAATATCAAAGGTTTAAATGTATCAGAAGAGTCCAAATATTTGAGGAGAACTATCCAGAGTACATTGAAAAGCAGCCTCAAAATACCAATAATGTCAGCCAGATTTAAATGTAAAACTTTTCAAATTCAATAATATGAAAATATCCAGGCCAACCCTACAAAAAACGGCTTTTCTCTTGCAGATTTAAAACTCATTTAGGCATCAATAATGATCCTAACATTGATTTAATAACAATATTGTCCAAATGGAGTTCATACTATCTGGTATATGATCATTTTGGGGAGTGGAGAGAGTCTAATGTGAACGAAATAGCCTAAAGCGGATAACATAATAGTCTACATTTATTTATACAATAAAATTTGCAGTTGACATATTTACGTGCAAAATTGTACGAGTTCCCCTAGTGGTACATTACTACTGTAGGCCTACATATGTATTACCAAACAAAATAGTCATTTGTTTTTTTGTTTGTTTAAACTTGCTCACGTGGCTGTAGTCCAAGGCACTATCAGGTACAGTTGTCGATATAAGAACAAAATACTTGACTAGAGATAAAGCAACGGATAATCAGTAATATATTAAAGACATAGACCACAACGAATAGACACGCTACCTAGGCCTACTGATCTTTTGAAGATAAATCATTTTCTGAAAAATGGTTGTGGTGGTAAGTGCACGTGGATTAGGGGTTTCACATGTTCTATGCTGAATGAATTGACTTTGTTCCCGTCAAAACATTTGTTCTGGTGAATTCCCATGGGAACTGTTTCATACAGTTATGTAGAGTCAAGTTACCAAGGTCAACTTCTCAAAACGACTTGTCATAGAAATTCTGAGTTGCCTCGTGATTTGGAAACAGGGTGTCTTATTGAGGTTGTTTGGATAGAAAAATTCCTATTATAGAGGTTAACCATGAGTGTTAAAATGGGGTTTTCAAGGGGATTTGACAAGTGCACTACTAATCAAGGTTGTTGTGTCATTGAGGGTCGTAAACAAGTTTCTAAACTGTAGGGTAACATTTTAATAATAAAAAAACACCTCATTACCCTTTCTGTAGCAGCAAACCTAAGTACTCGTCAAACTTATGTTATTTGAATAGGGAATAAATCTGACACGTTTAAGGAAATATTTGAGTGAAATCCACTCAGGCAAATAGAAATTCGTTTAGTCAGCAGATTTCTGCAACAGGAACTTGCAATCTTATATGTCATACATCACACGTTTTAAAGTTTTTAACACCTACAATTTTGGTTTCTAAAATAGCTATGGATGACCTAAGTTAAACCTAGTTTGTGAGTAACTTAAGGGTTTTAACCACAGATTTACAATTCTTAAGGTCTTTTAAATAAATAATACTTGGGATTTAGCCATGAATACATTCAATTATGTTGAATGTTACTTAAAGCAAATAATGAACAGTAGCATAGGTTTTATAATCTTCTAATACCAATATGTGGCATGCAGGATGAGTGGAAGTGACAGGACGAGGGCAGCCGAAGAGCAGGTTTTGTTGAATGAACTTCCCTCTCGCAATGGTGTCACAGTTACTCCCAGTAGGACGCCTGTTGGAAAAAGAGGTAAGTCTTCAATTGATCTGGAAATACACAATGTTATAATTAGTTGGTGCCTTCACACTAAGTACTACACTAAAAATCATTTTTTATTAACAATTAATTATTGTAATTTTTAACAGTTTTCAGAAAGAAAACAATTTATAGTTGGCTTAACACTTTTACACTTCTTTGTACACATATTTGATCAAACTCACCTTAAAGTTCATCTAATTAATTTATACAGTACACTCTCGATTATCCCAGCCCTGGTTATCCGAGCCCTCGGGCCATCCAAGGTCGTTTTAGGCCTAAATATATTCATGTATATATGTATTGTGAAACAATAGGCTAATTACTTTAAAATAATACCTAGTACTAGGTGAAACCTGTCAAAATCGACAGTTACTGGTGAGATTTCAAGCAAAATCACTTTAGTTAACTATTGATCGATGATAAATAACTCCATTTGATTAACAATTTGGGTTGTTCGTTATTCAGCAGCCTAAATCAATGTATATACATGTGACTGCTCTCTGGATACTAGTAATAAAGTGTGTGGAGGCGGTTCTCTGATTCACAATATTATTCCGTGCAGTGCCTAACCCCAACAACTACTTCTTGCTCAACCGAATGTGTTTTTGCCTCTATAAATCTCCCCTGCTCTACACTCATGTTATGCTGTGCATATACATTACCTCCAAACCAACCATCCCGTGCTTACTCCAATTTCTAAAACACTTTTGATGAAGTAATGTCAACTGTTAGTAATTGGGACAACATACTTCTGGTTGGAGACTTCAATCTTTCAGGTACTGTTTCTTGTTTTAAAATAAAACTAAATCTTTAGATAAAGAATTCCATTTAATGAACTATAAGTTAGTTTGTTTACAAGTAGGCCTAAGTTTGTTTTTAAAAACAATATAATAATAATTAACAACTCCGTTTCTAGCTTTACTTTTATTCACTTTACTTGCTCCTGCCAGTTCTTTAACGTCATAAAATCGTTTCTTCAAAAACCAAGAGTTCCTTTGATAAATATTCCCATCTGGAGTTTCTATAAGGTATGATCTTGGCTCCGGACCTTTTCTTACGACTGTAGCTGCCTGTGTTCTTTTCTATACAATACTTTTTCTCCTTCTTCAAATTCTAAGTTGTATTTTTTGTTCTGTTACTGTATTGTCTGCATTTATTTGCTTGGTTAGACGCTTTTGTTAAGAAATCATTAAAAGTTTCTCCTTTACCCTGATTTAGATTGTTGAAGCCAAACCGTTCATATATGACATTTGATTTCTTTTCAAAATATGAATCAAATTTTGCAATTATATTATCCACGCTAGTAGATTTTTCATCAATATCAAGACTCAAAGAGTTCAATTCCATCTTCTCCAAAATATCCTCTTCTTCAAAAGTTCAAATTGACAGCAGTAGTATACCACTGAAATTGTTTCCGCCATAAATTCCACTTCTTTGTCATTCCACTACCACTGGTAACTAACAGTGGTTTTATGTTCATTGGTAAGTCTTGATTATTCATCTCATCATTATGATAATCATTATTGTCTTTTTATTAACCTCTCTGAATGGAGAACATTGTCTTTCTTTATTCTTATTTCTGGTTCTTCGTTTTGGCACCATGTTTCTTGTTTTAAAATAAAAATAAATCTTTAGATAAAGAATTTCATTTAATGGACTATAAGTTAGTTTGTTTACAAGTAAGTTTGTTTTTAAAAACGGGGGCAATGTACCCAAAAATTTGAATTTTTTAAAAAAGGTATTTTATTTATTTTTTTGTTTCTTAAATAATTTAGGAACAAGAATCAAGCATTGATTTTTGTTTTTAATATTCAAAATGTGTTTTTTGGATTAAATTTCATAAGCGCGCACAGCTGGCTTTTCTGCTTCAGGCACCTATTTTGGAAGCAATGTAACCAAAAAACTTCATTAAAAAAAATTGTTTCTATTTTTTTTCTTAAACTACCTATTTAAGAACTAGTATCAAGCTTTAGTTTTGTATTTTTAATATTGAAAATAGTTTTTTAGACTAAATATCATAGGCATCCACAGCTGGTTTTTCTGCTTCAGGCGCCTATTCGAAGCAAAGTGTTTTTGTTATTTCCCGCATATTTCTTTTTTAGTGTTTTCCTTCACGTTTTACAGCATAACTTTTTTATTTTTTTAGCTAGAGAAGTCAAATTTTGTATGTTCTTCAATATATTGTGCACAAACAGTAGCATGGAAATTTACATATTGTTAACCATATTCCTTCCATATTTTTTTTATAGAAAAAATAAACGGAATTTCGTCAAAAAGTTAAAATAAAATGTCCCATATCTATTTTAAAAAGCATATCAAAAGCCATGCTACTGTTTGTAAGGCTATTTATTAGCTTTGAAACAAAGTTTAAAAAATTGGAATACGTGCTATACAAAAGGAGTTATGCTGTAAAACGTACACGTATGTTTTTTTAATCCCCCCCCCCTTCGCCCGAAAGAGAAAGGGGGGGGGGCTCATACCATATTTTCTTTTTATTTTTACACTAGGATACATTTTAATCAATAAATAAAAATTGTTAGGCCATTTATAAAGAAAAAGTATTTTTGGGTACATTGCCCCCTTAAAAACAATATAATAATAATTAACAATAAAATGACTTTATAGTCATATATCAGGTACTGATTGGTAAAGTGACAACGATAATTCTACATCAATCTCTCCACGGCATGTGAAAGATCTCGCCACAACTTATGGTCTTAGACAAATCAATTCAGTCAGTAATCTCCTTGGGGTCTGTCTAGATCTGGTGTTCTCATCTCTTCAAAATTCCAATGCAACTCAGGCTGATTCTAGATGAAGACATGCAGCACCCGTCACTCTCTGTTTCATTCAAATTACATAATTCTTACTCTCACCAGCCTCCTTAGTTTGCATTGGACTTTCGTAATTGTGATCTGGATGGAATATTTACAGACGTCTTAGATCCAAGGGCAAGTGTGATAAAAAAAGGGCAATAATTCAATTGTTTTTAATTGTTAAATGATTGTGTTATTTGTCATTATATAAAAATATCTGAAGCCCAAATTATTTAATAATATGCATTATTGACTTTATGTTTATATTAAACATAAAGTCAGTTGGGATTGTTTGTGTTACTGACACTGCAATGTGTCAGTTGACACATTTTTAAATGATAAGTTTTAGAAAACCAACTTGTAAAGGGATAATTCATGTTCTTAAAATGATTATTGTGAGGTTTTATTAATTTTTTTTCTCTAGATACTTGCTAGGTGTAACTATTTAATTATGATATTTTTACTGCATTGACAATGTCATCTATTCTGTTCTAGCTTTGCTAGTTGTTAAAGAATGTACTTTCATGACAATAAAGATATTCTTATTCTTATATTCCATTATGGGCGTTCCAAATAAGGCTATTGTAAGAAACGTCAATGAATATGGCCATTTTGGAAATACGAATAATCAAATTCCAGGTAATTAAATCCAACTGGATTGGTACACCATAACTTCCCTAAACAATCAATGGTAACACTGACTGACTGCAGTATCTGACAGCGAGAAACTGCATCTGCCGGAACAAGTCACAATTTTACGATAGGCTATTTAACTTAAGCTTGCTATTTTCATGCAGTGTGTGCTAGTTTTAGGCCCGCCGCACATTGGAGCGAGGCTAGGTGCAGGGGAGGCGTGGCTGATTCTGTAATACCCATGTTTAAATGGATCACCGCACATTGAGCCTCTGTCAGGCCTCCACGGCGTAGTTGGAATACAGTTTTCCTGCAACTCGCTCGTACCTCGTAAGCTCGTACCTGCGTTGGTTTGTGAGTGAAAGATATAGTAATGGAGCATTTAATGCAGATGGCTATATGTTGTTGAGCATTGCATTCCTTTTTGCTAATCCCACTTTCAATAAAATTATGGATATCATCAAACTGTTGTTCGTTTAAACGATAATATTCTCTACAAGACCGCTCTGGCAGTTCAGTAGTCAAAACATACACTCCATGGCTTAATCCTTTTTCATGTTATCACATTTCCAAAAATATTTTTTATACATTTTTCGAATAGTGAATAGAGTAAAACTAAATTATTCAACTCACAATCAGAATCAGTAAAGGTAAATAAGTCTTCCTCTACTCGCAAAAGTAAGGCCAAAGCTAGGAAACCTCTGTCCGCCTGGCTTCAATGTGCGGTGACACGAAAAAGTCCTCGCTCCCGCCTGCATCTAGCATGCACTTCGCCTCGCTCCAATTAGCGGCGGGCCTTAGCCTAGGATTTTTTCAATGTATTCATTAGAAATATTACTTCCCAGATTTGCATTAAATATTCAAATTGCAACAAAAATGCACATCCAATAAAAAAAATTCCTATTTTGATTGTTAAGCTATCTCATTCTCATTAAATATAAAATTACAATATCCCAATAATAAGTTGTGTTTTTTTTTGTTTTTTTTTTAGCTTTTCATTGTGCTGTTGAAATAGGAAAATAAAATATTCTATTGTTAAAATAAATATAACTTCAATTAGCCTAATTTAAAATATAAATTTTGTAGATTTCAACCAAAAAATTCTATTGTGTAAGGGGGGGGGGGCAACGTTCCCCCAGTTCCTCCCCTGGATCCACCCCTGCTGGACTTAGAATGTGATCCCATGTTGGAGTACTTCTCCCAAAAAAGCTTTCATCTGATATTACATTTTTCCTAGTTGACCAAATCAAACGTTTTTGCAAAGGCTTTGTTTTTTATTTTTAATGTTGACTTGTGTACGGATTTGTTTCTTTTGTAACATAAATTTAAATTAGCAGTTCAACAGTGAAGACAAGTTGAGAGAATTGTAAAGGGGTTTCTGGTGTAATAACTTTGTTAAAACAAACTTACAAACAAGCCCCTTCCATTGTTGTAAAAATCTGCTGTTTGGAATCACTGAAACATACATACCAACCTTTTAGTTTTGCACTATTTTTATTGAATAACCCTGTATGATGAAAGAAATAAAAGGACGTAACCTAAAAAATAATTAATAAATAATAACCTTAAAAAATAATCAACAGAGAAATAAAAAAAATGCTCAGGTCTTCAAGTGTATACTTTCAAAGTATACTCATAATATGAACATGTAAATCTATTTAATTTTTTAAAGATAAACTACATATTTTTTGTTAGTTAACAAAAAATCTAGTTATTTCCAGAAAACTCTGGATAATTCTGACATTATTTCTAAAACATAAGTACCTACCTATGACGTGTGAGTAGAAATATTATTATGTCTTTCAATGAAAAAAACTATGATGTAATTGTTCTATTCCATTTATTCCAAAATGTACTCCCACAGCAATATGCAAGAAAGTAAATTAGACCGCAGAACAATTGTATGTTGTATGCGCTATGCAGATTAGCAAAAAAGTATTCCTTTGTTATTGAGTGAAACACTATGTAGGTTTTACTTTTAATGTAGGCTAATTCAATTCAAATATACCTGTGTTAATTATTACAGGGAGGTACGATATACTGGCTTCCTAGCTTCTAATCCCTTTTTTTCAATTCAATTTTAAAAGTCAATTTTACTCAAATTAAAGTGTTACCATTTACCTATTTCAGACAATCAATTAATTTGGACATGTCCAATTAGTTTGTGTCAGCTAGTCTTAAGTGTACAGTGACTGCCCATGCCACTAGCCTGAATTCTCCCAGTGTCGATTGAGCAAAATTCCGTGCTGGCTGCTGACTCAACATGGCACCAGCAGTATTCTGCCCGGTGTAACACGGTTATTGAGAAAATAATATCTATATTCCATTTTTCAATGAGTTGTAAATACATCTTTTAGCTTTTAAATAAAATTATAACCATACAAGTCTTGCTGTTAGTATGTACTAAATTATTATAAAAATTAAATAATTTCTTTCGAGGAATGATGGTACAATACAAACCTAAACCTCCGTTTCCCTATATATTTATATACTATTTACACTCATAAAGGTTACATGAATAAATTGTGTTTGTACCTTTTTTTAGATAAACTTGTAATAGGACTAGGGTTTGGATTATTCTTACATAAAATTAAATGTATGTAGGTATGCTAGTTCTCTTGTGCATTAAAAAACTGATGATCAGATCAATGTGAAACTTCTTTTATTCATCCCTGTGAAGATATATTGTATTATTCACAATCTTGAAATTCCTTAAGATTCCATGACATTTCAAAGCTTTGAAGTGAAGCTTTAAAAATATATCAATTTAGTAAAAAAAAAAAAACAATGCAACCCTTACATTTTCTTTGTATACAATTTTATAAATGCTAGGTCCATTTTACACACTTATAAACAGCTTATTAAAATAATAAAATTAGATATTTTGTAAAACAAACAATGACAACAACATGAACAATGTACTGTACATTTATCCTTCTGAGATGCCATTGATCATTACTACATTACTCTCTAAACTCATTGTACAATTAATTCATTTTAAAAGTATTGAATGGCTAACATTTTATAAATGTCATCATTACGTTACCAAGGATGAGTAAAACTATTAGTTAAGTTGCTATGTATCACTAGATTTATATGGTTTTAATCATTACATCTCTTACTTATACTTATAAACAACTTATTAATTTAAATCTAAAACAAATAAAATTAATACAAAATGTTAACTTAGTGTTTTAAAGATTAGGTAATATTAGTTTGTTTTTAGAGTCCCGAGATGGTGGTCTTGATTGTTACAGCTACACAGTAGTTGATTCTATTACTCTGCTAATAGGTGGTGCTATTTTAAAAGAGGGAGCTTCTAGTCTTGTCCAATTGCTCTCGTTCCAGGATGACAATAGCCGCGGCTTCGCTGGTATGTCTGATTCTCTCTCACTCACTGAGCATGATCTAACCCTCTGGATTAAAGGTTCTACGACTTCATCAAATACAACTCCTCTTATCCATAGATATTTATTTTATTATCTACATTGTGTGGTGGACAGTTATTTTTTTAGTTTATACCTGTTGCTTGTTAATGTTAACCCTACTCAACTTCTATGAAACTCAGCATTCCTATCTGTTGTTATATACTTATGCTTTTAGTTTTATCATCTTATTTGAAAAGCAATACAAACATATTCCCTGGTCCCTGTATTACTTTCCTTGCCTTGGTAATAGATATCCTTACATCTATCTACATTAATTATACGCTAAATGAAACTTTGTGACCAATAAGGCTTTAAAATTTAACCCTACATATTATATACCAAAATGTTCGTCTAGGTGTGTAGATTTGCAAACCGACCTTACATTTTTGAAAAAGTCCCTTGGGCTCTGCTCCAGTGGCTTTTAAAGTTCCCATACTATCCTTATAAAGAACATTTGTTTACATTATGATCAGCTGGGTAATTTAATTACTGTTAATATTTTAGTTGCAATTTAAGGAAACGTGTGCTGCAAAAATTTACCGACTTGGTTGAAATTTAATATTTTAAAAATCATAGAAATTGTTGATAAATATTAAAACGTAACAGGGTTTTTTTATTTCACGATTCTGAATCAACCACTTGACGGATTTTCATGATTTTTGTGTTGAAAGAAAGATAATTTTGAGAACTAGGGAATGTCAAAGCCATAATTTTAGTTTAGAGTTTCAGTTTTTTAGAAAATAAGTTTAAAATTTTAAAAAGTCTAGCAGCCGACGCTATGATTCTACACTAGCTTTTGGTATAAAATTATTTGCTTAACGTAACAGCTGTAAACATTTAGCGTGTATGTGACACAAATTCAGCATTTTGATAAAATTAAAAGACATAATAAGGTTTGACTTATTTATACTATGGCTAATCATACTATGCTAATCATTGATAAGTAGTTATAAGAGGATGACATATTATTTAAATATACATAGTAAAATACTAGAATGTTCAAAGGATTTTTTAAATAAATCTTTGTAATCTTAGGTTTGCTTTTGTGCAATATAATTTTCTTTTAACTAACAGCTGGTTAAATATAAAAATGCTCTCTAGAATTATGAGCTTATTTTATTTACTCTGTTTTTGTCATTGATTATAGGAAATGAAATAAGTAAGATTAGTAGAGATAAGTAACACAATCGATGTATCATACATGTCGAGGCTCTGTACACGAGTAAAAAAAGGATATGCAAATTATTTTCCTGCTCAACTTTTTTAGGAAACGGTAGGAAAATCCTTTTTTTACAAGTTTTAATTCATCTTGGTAGCTTTTTGTTTACAATCAATGTTTTTTAATGCTTAAACTTTGTTTGGATTAGGCCCTGAAATATTGATGTCATAAAGAAGGAGATCAAGAACCCTCAGGCATACGATTTTAAATTACCACCACAACCTCAGACGGGTTTTATCCAAAGATATACAGATTAATGACGTAGATTGAGCACAACGTCATCATTGACCTAGGATTCTGCAATTAGACTAACCATCTTTTTATGAAATCTAAAAAGTTTTTTGGCGTGTGTTTAGTTGTGGTTAAGTTTGGTGGCTCTGAATATTTTATAGTTTAAATAAATGAATATGGGGAATTAAGGTGTACATTGATTCAATGAGGGTGGTTTAATTATTAAGGATATTAGAACTGATAACGGAATGGATAATAAACATAGACAATTAATTACGTCACTAGCTTTACTAGCGTGTTTACGGTTTAAGTTCCTTCAACATGTAACCAGTTCTTTTGTTCAAATGAATATTATTTTATTTTTGGCTCAGCTGTTTACCAAAACATACTATATGTTGTTGTTTTTACTTTTCTTTGTTTACACTTATTTATTTAGCAATTGATGCAGTGAAATTGATATAAAGGATATCTGTGGACGATTCGGTTAATGATGTTAGGACACCAACTTTATAATTATGTGTACTGTGAATTTTATTGAATGTTTTCGTTTTATTTTAGGGAGTTTCTATTCAGACCTACTGGAAATTGTGTATAGTATGAGTTATTGTATTGTGGTGATATTGATTATGGAAGAGGCAGGTATGCGATGGAATTGGAAGGTGATATCGTTGACTAGGCCTATACAATCTCAATTGATAATCACTCTTTCTACTGTAGGCTGCAATAAAATTTGTCTTTATACGTGTAAGCTAGCTGTTCTGAATCATACACAGTTTTAACTGACTACTCCTGTACGTAGGACGGGCTAACACCTCGTAATAGTTTAATTTGTAAATTACTTGACTAACTATTAACTAGATGCATTTCATTATAAGGAAAAATCTATTATTACGAATACATATGGTCTAAAATGTAAAACACATCCGCCGAACTCTATACTTGGGGTTTCACCGTAATCAAATGAATAATACAAACCACCACTACAAATGCAATTTTAATTATTATGTTATAGGTTATTACAACATGATTATGCAACAAGTTCTTATTAAATAAAGTTATAAAAATACCCCCGCTGCAGCAAATCTGCAGTCTAAGCGAATTTTAATTTTCCTGGCTGGACTCGCTACCTGTTGTGAACTTTATTGAATATGTTTTCACTTCATTGATTTTCCTTTTGATCTGACTGTTATATTTTTTCTATACTACTGTGTTTTGTTTTATCACATGTTAAATATTTTGTATTGAATTAATTTAATTGTTTGAAGGTTCAGTTAAGACTTTGGAATAAATAAAGAAGCCTACTAATCTGTTTGTGAAATAATTATTTTATTATTTCTGGTAATTATTTCAAGATTCAAAACACTACCAATTGTCTTATCATTACCGGGTTTTCTATACATTCAAACAAACAGAAAAACTGTTGTTGTGCAGTCATGTACTTCTTTATAATGGTTTTCTATGGTCTTTACTTTAAAATCATTTCCTTAATATACCATAATCAAATACATTTTTGGATTTTGTATCTAGGAAAGTAATTGCTTCTAAAGGGAAGTGCTCCATACCCCTCAAATGTTTGTGGACATGACGGGATTGAACCAATTTCTTTTGCACAAGTCTGAGACGATTATCACTACGATAGCTACACAAAAAATACAGATCTTAAAATGAACTGGTTTTAAAACATTTGTTTTAATAGGTTTGGTGAAAATGTATTCACATAATCTCAATGAGCAACCAATCTTCTGTGTTACGTTACGGGCCATGTTAAACATAAAGTCTGAGCAGGATCAAGGGAGGATACTGGCAGACGATAGTGAGAGGGGTGAGGGGAAGTATTTTGTAAATTATAAAGCTATAATACACTAATGGTGTATTAGATCCTGGATTCTAAAATATCTACATACATAGAGACGGTATTTTTTAAATTTCTATATAAACAACAAGAAGCAACACTTGTTTGTTTTAGTACAGCATAAATTAGAGACACGACAATTCTAATTTACAAACTTCATGTAGTTGTTCTTGGATGGTTACAATTTTTATGTGAGACAATGAACTCATTAATTTTATAGTAAGTTTATAGCTCCATAAACTGCTAGCTAGCAGATATTTCAATGTTGGGTAATAACTCCTTTAAGAGATGCAACAGACTCGACAGCTGCAGGGAAGCATTCAGGTCACTCAAAGTACTTACCCTTGTAGCACTCTACATCCAGGAAGTTGTGTTATTTGCAGTAAGAAATAACCCTACAAGGCGTGGCAAAATGCACCAACACAACCTGAGAAACACCATGCAGTAACTGTGCCGTGCGATGTTGTGGAAGGTCCACAACATCGCACGGCACAGTTTGAAAAGAAACCTTCATACGCAGGAATGAAAATCTCCAACCGGCTACCTCCAGATCTAAGAAGCAAGTCAGAAGATGACCTCAAACCAGCTTTGCATCAATAGCTCATTAATCGACCTTTCTACTCCTTAAAAGAATACCATCAACAGGTCTTTGACTAAACAACAACACCTCAACCACACATTTAGAAAAAATTGTAAATTGACGCTACTACTATTCTTATTGAATGTGTAATTAAAGATTAATTGTCTATTGTCTATAGGTAGGGGTGTGTGTCGCTTTTTAAAATCATGATTTCATACATACTTAATACCTTTTTTGTTAGTCTATTAATTATGATGCTTTTTAAGAAAATTACATAAAGAAGAAAAGACTATAATTCAACTGTTCCCCTAGACCTAACAGTGCAGTTACAAAACATGGCTTTTTCATCGAAGTGTTGGTAAAAAGAGTCATATTTTTCTCTAAAAGGCAATAACCAGTTCAAGTTTTAAACTTTTAATTAAGTGTTGGTGTTCGAGATTGTATTGTAGAGTCAGTCAGTTAATGTAAGTTAACTGTGGTTGGAGTCATTCTTTCCAATCAGGCACTTCCTTTCCTAACAACTTATTATCAAATTGATTAGACTATTTTTGTGGACATCATCTGTTGTACAGTATTATCAAATTAGTAATATTTTTGCGTTTTCAGTTCATGTCTATTAAACTTGTTAGATTAATTTGTAAAATAACATTTAGCCAGCTTTAAAAAACAATTATTAGCGTAATCTATATAAATAAAATTAGAGTTTTGTCTGTACATTGCTCAGAATCATACATTTTTAGGTTTTTTTACGTTTTATACGTTAAAGAAGCCGAAACAAGTCTCATCTAAATTTCTGTCTGTCTGTCTGACACACTCAAGATGGCATTTTACGCAATCTTCTCCAGGAAAACGATAGTACCTATCAAGACCCAAGTCATTTTAATGTATTCACTGGATTGGCAAGAGTGTCTTTAACCATTAAAATATGGTCTCACTACTTTGTAATTAAAATTACGGCCGTTCAAAAATGCAGTTTTGTGCGATTTTTGTCAAGTTTTCTTCCAATTTGTATCACATAATCATCTATGAAACAACGAACAGCTGTTCGGATCAAGATTATTTT